CGGCCCTTGGCGGCCGCCGCCGCCTCCACCTGCGCCCACAGCGCCCGCAGCTCCTGCCGGGGCACGGTCACTTGTCCGGCCAGCGCCGGCCGCGCCCGCGCCAGCTGCTCGCCGTCCTGCGGGACACGGGACACGGAGTTACTTGGAGGACCAAGAAATCATGGAATTGTCAATGTCAGGGTTGGGATTGTGGAATTGTTGAGGTTGGGGCTGTTTAGTTGGGGTGATGAGGATTGGACACGTGGGGTGGTGGGATCGTTGAAACTGGACCCACAGAACCATCAAGGTTGGACCCAAAAAGTCACGAGCACTCCACATCCTGCATCACAAACCTGCACCAAAACCTGACCACCCCAAAATCTGCACTCTAAACCTTCACCCCAAAATCTGCACCCTAAACCTTGACCCCAAAGCTGCTTATCCCAAACCCGCATCCCAGACCCACCCAAAACCCACACCCCAAACCAGTACCCAAACCCCACACCCCAAACCTTCACCCCAAAAGCCGCCGCCTCCACCTGCGCCCACAGCGCCCGCAGCTCCTGCCGGGGCACGGTCACTTGTCCGGCCAGCGCCGGCCGCGCCCGCGCCAGCTGCTCGCCGTCCTGCGGGACACGGGACACGGAGTTACTTGGAGGACCAAGAAATCATGGAATTGTCAATGTCAGGGTTGGGATTGTGGAATTGTTGAGGTTGGGGCTGTTTAGTTGGGGTGATGAGGATTGGACACGTGGGGTGGTGGGATCGTTGAAACTGGACCCACGGAACCATCGAGGTTGGACCCAAAAAGCCATGGAGTTGTCAGTGATACACGGGATCCTTGAGGGTGGCCCAGTAAATTGTGGGATTGTGAAGATTGGACCCATGGGATGCTGAGATCATCGAAACCGGACCCATGGAGTTGTGGAATTATTAACGCTGGACCCACAGAACCACGGAATCACTGAGTTGGACCCGTGGAATCACAGAACTGCTGAGGTTGGACCCATGGAATTTTGTGAATTTTGTGGAATCACAGAACTGCTGAGGCTGGACCCACGGAATTTTGTGACTTACACCCCCCACCCATATCCCACCTTTCCCAAGGGCCGCCCCTTCCTGGATCCCATTTTCTCCCTGTTTTCCCCCAGTTTTTCCCAATTTCTCACCCATTTTCCCCCCGTTTTCCCCCGTTCCCACCTTCTCCAGCGCCTCCAGCCAGCCCCGGTTGGCCGCGAGCTCGGCGGCGAAGGCCTGGTGCTTCTGCCACTTGCCCTGCAGGTCCCGCGTGCCCTCGTAGGACACGTCCCGAGCCACCGGCAGCTTCTCGTTCAGCCACAGCGTCAGCTGGGACCGGGAACGGGGACAGGAATGGGAACGGGGATGGGAACGGGGACACAGGTCAGGATCTCTTCCCACCGTCCCATCCCAGCTCAGTTCTCACCTTCACCCCATCCCCATTTTAACCCCATCCATCCCCGATCTCCATCCCAATCCCAATCCCATCCCAATCCCATCCCAATCCCAATCCCGATCCCGCTGGACCTCCTGCCCATCCTGCAGGAACTTCTGCAGCTCCCAGTTATCCCGCAGCCGCCCCAGCAGCTCCTGGGCCGATTCCCGGATCTTCTGGTGCCTGTGCCAGGGCCAGGGGGGGATGAGACCCCATTCCCATGGTATGGGATGGACTGGGATGGACTGGGATGAACTGGGACGGGTCTCCCTCACCTGCTCTCCACCGACTCCACCGTCTCCCGCACCTTTTCCACGTGGACGCCGCCCTCGTCCAGCAGCTTCCGCCCAGTGTCCGTGAGCGCCCGGACGCGCTCGGCGCCGGTGTCCAGCGCGGCCAGGAACTCCTCCAGCCTCCGCACGGCCGCCTCCGCGCCCGGCACCGTGCCCGGCAGCTCCGTGTGGGCCAGCGTGTGCTCCTGCGAGCCAGGATTGGGATCGGGATCGGGACAGCACCGGAGCCCCGGGATCCCCCGGAACACCCCCATCCCCTCACCTGCTTCCCCAGCGTCCCCTCCACCTGCTTGGCGTCCCGCAGGAACACGTGGAAGGCGACAGCCTGGGCCAGGAGCCGCTGCCGCTTCTCCCACACCCGGCCCAGCTCCTCCCAGTCGGCATCCAGCGCTTCCAGGCGCTGCAGCAGGGACAGGCTCTGCGGGTCCGTCTGTCCCCGCGTCACCTCCCGCCCGGCGGCGCGGGCGCTCCGGTAATCGGCGCCGTAGTGCGAGATCTCGGTGCGGAGGCTCTCGTGCTGCCGCAGGGAGCCCTCGGCCTCGGCCAGGGACGCGGGGACATCCTCGGAGCCCGCGGCCGCGCGGGTGCGGGACAGCCAGGCCTGGAGCGCCGCCAGGTCCCGCAGGAAGCCCTGCAGCCGCCGCGCCTGCCCCAGGGACTCCTCGCGGCTCCGGTGGCACCGGCGCAGCGCGTCCCACTCGGCCTCGAGCCCCGCCAGCTCCTCGCGGATCTCGGGCGCTCGCTCCGGCTGCTCCCCCTGCAGCTTCTCGCCCTCGGCCCGCAGCTCCCGCAGCTTCCCCTGGATGGCGTCCAGGTCGCGCCCCATCCCCGACAGCTTCGCCTGCAGCGCCGTGATCCCCGCCAGGTCCCGGCCCAGCCCCCGCGTGGCCTCGATGGCCGCCGTCTTCTCCCGCATCCAGCCCCGCGTCTCGTGGCATTCCAGGCGGAAATTGTGGATGTTCAGCGCCGCGGTCAGCGCCACCTTCTTGCGCTCGGCCAGCGCCCGGAACCGCTCCCACCTGGCACGGGCGGGATCGGGGCACGGTGGGACAGAGCCCGGGGAGCGGCCGGGGTGTCCCGGCCCAGAGAATCCATCCCTGGAGCGTCCGAGCTCCGAGAATCCATCCCTGGAGCATCCCAGCCCAGAGAATCCATCTCCAGAGCATCCAGCCCTGGAGCATCCCAGCCTGGAGAATCCATCCCTGGAGCATCCCAGCCCAGAGAATCCATCCCTGTACATCCCAGCCCCGAGAATCCATCCCTGGAGCATCCCAGCTCGTAGAATCCATCCCTGCACATCCCAGCTCGGAGAATCCATCCCTGGAGCATCCCGGCCCCGAGAATCCATCCCTGGAGCATCCCAGCTCAGAGAATTCATCCCTGGAGCGTCCCAGCCCGGAAAATCCATCCCTAAAACATCCTGGCCCAGAGAATTCATCCCTGGAGCCTCCCAGCCCAGAGAATCTATCCCTGGAGCATTCTATCCCCAAGAATCCATCCCTGGAGCATCCCAACCCCGAGAATCCATCCCTGGAGCGTCCCTGGCTGCCCGGAGAACCCACCCCCGCCTGGAGCGCCTGGCAAATCCATCCCTGCCCGGATCCACTCCCAGTCCCCGCCCGGAACGGCGCCGCCGGGCCCGTCCCCACCTGTCCCGGAGCTGCTCCCAGGTCTCCCGGGCGCTCTCCCGGTTCCTGTCCCCGGATCCCCGCAGCTCCTCCGTGACGCGGCCCACGGCGGCCACGCGCGCCGCCAGCGCCGCCAGCTCCGGCTCCAGCGTCTCGAACCTGCGGGAGCGCCGGGAATGACCGGGAATACCGGGAATTCCGGGAGTGCCGAGCCGGAGCTGGGAATTCAGGCAAGGCTGGGAACCACGGCAACACCGCGACAGAGGTGGGAATGCCAGAAACCCTGGGAATGCCACAAATTCTGGGGGTACTGCGCTGGAGGTGGGAATTTTGGGAAATTTGGGAGCGCTGGGAATACGGTGTTGGAGGTGGGGATTTTGGGAATGCTGGGAGTATCTCAGGTCGAGGTGAGAATTGAGAGAGTACAGGGAATGCTGTGTTGGAAGTGAAAGTTCTGGGAAAACGGGAACACTGGGAATGTTGTGGTGGAGGTAGGAATTCAGGGAATACCGGGAATAATGGGAATACTGGAGACATCCTGAGGAAAAACGGGAATAACGGGGTATTCTTGGGAAAATTCCTGGGGGAATCCCAGTGGGGGCGACCACGGGCACTCCGAGACTTCCCGGGAATAATTCTGGGGATAACTCTGGGATTCCCACGGTGCAGCACGGGGAGCCCCGGGCGCTCACCGCTGCTGCACCACCTCCAGGTCCTCGATGCGCTCGGGAACCTCCATGGAGAGCAGCCACTGCTCCCTCTCGCCCACCCAGAGCGCGCAGGCATCGGCCTCGCTGCGCGCCGCGAACAATCCCAGCGCGTCCCGCAGCTCCAGGCGCCGCAGCTCCGCCCGCTCCTCCAGCTCCCGGTGCCGCCGCTCCAGCTCCGCCAGCCGCTCCGCCAGCCCCGGCAGCACGTCGGGAACGTCGGCGGCATCGCCGGGCAGAGCCTGCTCCCGCAGCGCCGCCAGCGCTGCCCCGCGCCGCCGCAGCTCGTCCTGCAGCTCCCGCAGCCGCCGCTCCAGCATCCCCGCCGAGCGCTCGTCGTGCCCGAGCTCCGGCCCCGCCACTCGGCGGCCAGCGCCGGCAGCGCCGCCCAGAGCGACTCCAGCTCCCGGATCCGGCGGGACACGGCGGCCGCGGGGTCCGGGGAGCCGGGAGCGGGGCCCGGGGGTCCCTCGGAGGGGTCTGTGGGTCTCCCAGTGGGTTCCGTGGAGCCGTCGGGGCGTTCCGAGGGTCTGGCGGAGGATGCCGAGAGTCCCGCCGTGGATGCAGGGGGGGATTCCAGGGGTCCCGGGGACGCGTTCTTGGATTCCGGGGGTCCCGTGGGGGGTCCCGTTGATCCGGCAGCGGATCCCGCTGACCCAGGGGCGGCTTCCACCGATCCAGGGGCGGCTTCCACGGATCCCGCGGCTCCGTCGGGGGCTCCCTGCGCCAGCAGCTCCCGGCCCCGCTCCAGCAGCTGCTGCAGCGGCCCCGCTCGTCCCCCCAGCGCCCCTCGGATGGCCTCGAGCTGGCTCAGCATCCGCAGGGCTCCCGGCAGGTCCCGGCCCAGCTCCGGGCAGCGCAGGAGCCGCTCCTGCTCCCGCATCCAGGCCTCCTCCTCGCCCGCGTCCCACAGGAACTTCCAGAGGCGCCGGGAGCGCTCCAGCCGCAGCCGCCGCTGCGCCGACAGCGCCGAGAGCCCCCGGTAGCGCAGCTCCAGAGCGGCCACGCGGGCCCGCAGCTGCTCCGGGGGGCACGGGCGGTACCCTGGGGGGCACGGGCGGGGGTCAGTGGGGCTTGGGAGTTAGGGGGTCGCAGGGTTTGGGGGTCCTGGGGTCTGGAATTCCCCAGGGTTAAGGGATATGGTGTTTAGGGATGGCGATTTTGGGGGGTCCCAGGGTTTGGGATTCAGGGATGCTGAGGATTTGATAGACCCAGAGTTTGGGGGTGCTGGGGGTCTGGGATTTGGAGGTCCCGGGGTTCAGGGATTCGGTGTTTTGGGGTCTCGGTTTTTGGGGCTCACAGTTTTTGAGGTTCTGCTAGGTCCCGCTTTTGGGGGTCTCAGGTGAGTGGGGGTCCTGGGATTCAGGTGTCGCTGGGTTTGGGGATCCCAGGGGATCCCAATTTTGGGGTTCTCAGTTTTGGGGGGTCACTCACCGCCCCCCTCCCCGAGGAAGCGCTCGGCCGCCGCCCCCACACTCCGAACCCTCTCGGCCTGGGCCGCCACGTCCCCCTCGACCAGGGCGTGGATCTGCAGCAGATCGTCCACCTGGCTCAGGTGCTGCCCGAAATCCCGCGACTGCAGCCGCACCTGGGGACACCGGGGGGGTCACGGGGGGGTCCCGGT